TTTAAATGTTTAAATAACATTAAAAATAGTTAAATAATTATATAAAAAGATATTTAATATTATGTAATAACTTTAAAATAAATAAAATTCAAAAAAATTTAAATAATTTATATATTATTTAAATATTTTAACTAATGAAATACTTAATATAACTAGATTTTAAATAGTTAAAATAATATAATTATGTAATAAATTTAAAAAAAAATTCTTAAAACTATAAAAATAACTATAAAATAATATTAAAATTAATAATAATTAAATATTTTACAAAATTAATAACGAAATTATGTATTAATAGTATAAATTATAAGTTTATAGATTATTAAATTCAATACATAATTAATATTTTAAATATAAACAATGAGATTATTTAAATAACTAAGTAATATTGTAAATAACTAATTTCACTTATATCAATTAATAATTCTAGAAAAAATTTTCAAAAAAAATAATATTTATTAATAATAATTTTAGAATCTTAATATATATATATATGTATATATTTACTATATATTTATCTATACTAAAATTAATATATTTTGTATTTTCAGTAGTTATCCATTGTTTATTGTAATAAATATATTTTCAATAATTATGTACAAATTTATTTTTGTTTTGTTATTTAATAGAAAATTTTCAATAATTATTGGAGATTAAACTATTGCTATTTAAGTTTTCAAATTTAATTTATTTTACTTATGATATCTTTGTTATAATTCATTGATTAATATTTATTTGAGATTAAACTATCATTTCAAAGTAAACTATTTATTGACTAATTTAACATATTTTTTAGTATTTATTGTATTTCTATTATCAATATATTTTCAATAATTGTGTATTTTTTCTATAAATTTTCAATAATTGTTGGAGATTAAACTATTGTTATTTATTAGAGATTAGACTATTAATTTAGCTAAAGTTAGGAGTATTCACGGGTTAGTTCAGCTTGGTTGTAGAATGTTTGGCCAACCAAATTGACCTGTTAGGTTGGGGAGTTGGTCACCTGAATCCGACTGACCATTAGTGAAAACCAACCAACTCGGATTGCATTGGTTTGGGTCAATTTTCGATTTGGTCGATCGATTCATAAGATTTAAATTTAAATTTTAAAAAATTATAGTGGAATAATTAAAAAATAAATTTAAAAATTAAGTTTATGATTAAAATATTTTAAACTAAGAAATATTGAAAATTTCCCACTTTCCCATATTAAAAAAATTATATTAAAATATAAAATATTAATATATATCTATGGTTAAGTCATTCAATTTTGGTCAATTTAGAAATGGACAAAGCAAAACTAATCCAATCTGGTCGAGTTGGGAAGTTGTTGAACCAAAGCTCATCAGAAATATTAGAAAACTAACTAACTCGGGTCGAGTTGGTCGAGTTGGTTTGTTTCACTAGTTTGATGAACAACCCTAGCTAGCTAAAATTAATTATTGTTATTTTTGTATTATAAAAAATTATTAAAAGCAGTATATAAAATATAAATGATTATTAATTATTTAAAAGTTAAAAATATAAAACAATTGTATACTCTTATGTTTTTCTATTGTTTAGGTTTCACTTAACAAATCCCGTGCATTGTGCGGGTCCCCGCTAGTATTATATATTATAATAAGGTTCTAGGTAGATTTCAAATATATTACACACTTTTACTCACGATGGGTTTAGGATTGGAGTTAGGGTGGGGTAGACCTATTCATGGGACAAGTCGGGCCGGGTTCATGCCAAGCTTTGTCTTTGTATTAACAAAATATACTCAGGCCCGAGCCCGAGCTCGAGCCCGAACCTGTAGGCCAAATATCTTGTCCAAGCCCAACTTAGATTGGGCTAGGCCAAGCCGGCCCGTCGGGCCACTCGGCCCATGAATAGGTCTAGGGTGGGGTGGACAAATACCATTCCTACCTTGTCCCCTGTCGCTAAAGTTTTGGGTTTTCCCAAAACCCATCCCAAACCCAATCAACAATCAAAAAACCTGTTTAGATTGTGGCAGGGCAATTTGAAACCCCATGTAGATGGATTATATTGCCATCTCTATTTGAAATGTGTTTTGTTGGTAGAGATCCAAGTCCCAACTCCTTGTAATACCAGTATGTTCAAAATCAGGATTTGCTTCTCACTCCAACCTCACAACACATCCTACGGTATATTGAAAAACATCTCACCATCAATAACAACACACCAAGTGCCGGAGATATATTCCCATGTGGGGCTGGAATGTTTTGTGAGGATGGTATGAGGAGCATTCCGTGAGAGTAGATCCAAATTCGAATGTTTACACTTAGGGATGTCAACAGGTCGGGTTAAACATGGGTTTGCCTCAACCCTAACTCCACTTCCTGTGGCCCACCTCGAAACCGACCCGACCTGACTTTAAAATACATGATTCCCAAACCTGACCCGACTCTATAGGGTCTAACATGATACTATCCCAACGAGACCTGTAACATTTCAATTGCATGTTTTGAAGAATCAAAACCCTAACCCATTCCTAAACTCAATATATTTGACCCTAACCCATTGAAGTTGGATTTACCATTTAACCCGATCCATAGAAATATTTACACTGTTTTAGTATTAAATCCAGTCATCTCCCATGAACAATCATTTAAAAAAAAAGTAAAAATAAATAAACAATTGGAAAAAGAAGGTTCAGCCCAAGGTCAGAATTCTTAGGCCAAAATACAGTTGGGATAGATGCCAGGGTCGGAATTGATGCCAATTCACGCATAGGCATTGATGTATAGAATGGGCGGTTTTTGATATTTTGAATGTTTATAAATCTAGAGTGAAATTCAGAAATCTGCATACAATCTATCGATACTTTTCCATAAACGATTGCTGTTAACTGTAAAAGTCGAGATCAAATCAGCCTCCCACAATGTCTCACACTACATCCTGCTTTCGATATAATGACATTATTATCGGAAAATGTTAAAGTCGGCTTACACATGCTGACAAAGTGACATTAAGCTATTTTGTCAACGGAATAATGTGGCGACGCTCCACAAGATGGGAAAGGCCCAATGCCCCCATCACGTGTTGTACCAAGTATATTAGAGACTAAACCAGCACCTCGTGGGTGGCCGTCCCGTCCCACCCTCATCATCAATCTCCAGAACTACAGCGCTTCTCAGTTCTCACAACGACTCAGTCATTTCCATCCAAACTGTTACAAAGTGCCTTTATTGGCAATAGTGTTGATAAACTCACAAGGAACATGGAGGAATAGAATTAGATGCTTGTCCCCGCCAAAACGGATTGCATTCGTTCCAATATCCATCAAGCATCCAACAAACTTATGATAAAATTCCAATCCAACGATCCTGCCACACCATGAAAATGTCCACTTTTAGAGTTTTCGTGGTTTGAAGTCATGTTCTTTATTTAATTGGATGTTTTTTTCAAAAAAAATGTTAAAAAAGACTGTAGAAAACTGGGAAGGTGTAGTTTGGAAAAACATAAAAAAAAAATATATATATATATATATATATATTTATTTATTTTATTGTACTACGGTCAAACTTAAAAGTGCTACTTCGAATAAGTACTTATTTGTATTTGGCACCCAATTTTTTTAAGTGCTTATTTTAAAAGACAAACACTTATTTCATATTAGGTGTTTAGTAGTCTTTTTCTCCCATAAATACTTACTAATTTCAAAAGACAACTTTAACCATATTTTTAAGAGTGCCAAATGTTTTTCAAAGGATAAATCAAACACATTATGTGATAATTCAAATAAAATGAGAATTTTCCAATCAACCGTTTTAATAAATAATGCATCATTAATTCGACCATCAAACACATTTCGCGTTTTATTCTCATGTGAAAAGACACAGAAAGACGCGCAGAAAGGCATGTATCTGCCAAACTAGCTTTGGGCTGCTCAGATCATGCAAAAACTCAATACATCTTTTGACTCTTAGAACTATTAGAAGATCTTCCAAAAAGACTTGCTAAATGGGCCCTATGTTTTTGGACATTCTAAGGACATAAGTGGTATTTTAAGATCTAATTAGGAATAATTTAGAATTAAAATTTTGAATAAATGATTATTATATAAACACTTAAAAAAGCTAAAATTTTGGACTTCTTCAATAAATAATTAATTTTATAACAAGCATTTATTTCAGCCTTATTTCCCAAACACCAAGAACGGTAATCCAACACCACCTTAAAAAATTCATCATTAAAGCGAAATAAAATTCAGAAACTTGCCACCTGTTTTATCAACTATAAAGAATCTTTTTTTTTTGTTGATAGATATATGGGATAATAGCATATAAGGGCAACTTTTGGGGTTTGATATCAATAAAAATAATATTTTTTAAAAAATTCAAAAATAGATTAACTTTTCAAAAATAATATCAATAAAGGGCAAAAACATTGTTTATCATTTGTTCACAGCACCGCCGCCTCCAGCAACGTTGCTAGAGGTGGCCGGAGGCAAAGGTGGCGGCGGCGGCACTAGTGGTCATTTCTCTGCCCAATGTTGCCACCTCAACCCACCTCTGCCTCTGGCCACCGGCAACGTTGTTGGAGGCGGAGGTGGCGGCAGGCGGCAGTATATTTTTGCCCTTTATTGATATTATTTTTAAAAAGTTGACCTATTTTTAATTTTTTTTTTAAATATTACTTTTATTGATATTAAACCCCAAAACTTGCCCAAAAGTTGCCCTCATATGCTATTACCCCTAGATATATCAACTGTCAAGATCCACAATTCAGCAAACAGACAGAGCATACATCTTCCACCTTCAGATCCATGATTTGATTTTGATTCCAAATCAACTGGAGCCTCTGATAATTTGTTGTAGGCAGTAAAAATAGCAAAATTGCAAAAACAAGAAGAAAACAGTGTAGAGCCGCTCTTGGTTGACTAGTCTCAGGTGAGAGAAAAATTTGCTTCGCAGCCGACAGTAATAATTTAGAGTGACGTCATTGGTTCGGTCATTCAATTTACAGGTGCGCTATAAATATCTGATCTAATGTACTTTCATGCACCAAAGTTGAGTCTCAAAGAAGCCCAGGAAACAAAATGGAAGCAAGCAAGCAGGGCAAAGAGCAGAATGGTGAACAGCTGACTGCTGAAACCCCTATCCCTCTTCTCACTCCTTACAAGATGGGCAACTTTGGTCTTTCTCACAGGTTTGTCAGAACTTGTTTTTCTTTTTCTTTGGTCTTTTCTTTTTCGATGTTAAAAGCTGAGCTTGAATTTGTCCAAAGCTACTGTATATTTTGCATACACTTGGATACAAAACAAAGGCTGAATTTTTGTCTTCTTGCTTAGAATTTCTGGGCAATCTTGGGTAAATGATGAGAAATAGATGTTTGTGGAGAGGAGAAGGCTTGGACTTTTGAAGCCTATAAGAAGCAAATGAGATCAGTTTGGTTGAAAACTTTGAAATCTGATCTGTGGAATTTGAGTGGTTTTGAGTTTTTTTTCCTTTCATTATCTGAATTCAAGTAGTCTGTCATTGATGATCTCTGAAAATACTAAATTTGTATTATGATTTATTTGTTCATATGTTTCCATTTTCTAGTTATGAGAAAGTAATTGCCATGAAATAAAAGCTTAATCGACCAGATTATTATTACAACTTCATAGAGATTTGCTGGTTGAGAGTCTTTAGTTCCTTACTTGTACTTTGTGTTTTCCAGAGTAGTTTTGGCACCCTTAACTAGACAAAGATCTTACAACAACGTGCCTCAACCACATGCCATCTTATATTATTCTCAGAGAACAAGCAAAGGAGGACTTCTCATATCTGAAGCCACAGGGGTTTCTGACACTGCTCAAGGGTATATTTGGTGGCTGCAAATTTATCCCTATTTTCTATTTCAAAATTAAAAAGAAACACAGTAGTTTCTTTGAGATTGAAAGCTAAAACTGTATTTTTTTTTCTCTTTACTTAAGGTACCCAGATACGCCTGGCATTTGGACAAAGGAACAGGTGGACGCCTGGAAACCCATTGTGGATGCTGTTCATGCAAAAGGTGGCATTTTCTTTTGCCAGATTTGGCATGTAGGAAGGGTATCCAACTATGGTATGATTTTATTTTATACCTTATCGTTCTGAGTAGCTTCTTAGGAGTTGGAACCCATTAACATGAGAAGAAGACCCTGTAATATTTTTATACCTTCCAATCAACTTCTTTCATCCCTGTTTTACTGGTAACAATGTCAGAATAATATTAAAGAATTCATAGATGGAGAACAAAACAACTATGGAGAATAATAAAAAAAGACAGTTCAGTGTTCTGTTCAGCACAACACAGTTCATACACCCAATTGGAAATGAGAGCTGCCATGTAAGGAAAGGACCCCAAATATAGTTTTCCCCATCTGTGGCCAAAGTTTCAGCCAGATCAGTAGCTGATATTTTGGTCCAGCAGAACAAGGTGTTCCCTCTGGCTGCTAATGATCTAGCCCCTCTAGGATGCAATTCATATAGAACTGCTGATGTCTTTTTCAAAGAAAATGCTCTTATGACCACTGAGACTCTTGCTTTAAAGGGGTCTAAATATGGGAACAGAAATAACGCAAACCTTGTCTTAAATCACCAAATAGCAAGTAATACAAATAAATCATATGTTAAGAGTGGCCTCTGCCTTGCGGGTTTCTGAAAGAAAGAGAATATCTACATCTTCTGTATATAATGAAAGTGGGTTGCCACATGTAAGGTGACCCACTTTGATCTTTATGTTTACTGTCAATGCTTTCTTATTCTACCATAGTCGACTGGTAATTTTTGCTGAAGCTGTGTTTTATTGGCCTAATTGATTGCTTTGAAGATTTGAAACTTCAGAGCAATGTTTTGTATTGCCTCAGCTTCTTATACAGATCCTGCTTTATAGGTTTTCAGCCAAATGGACAAGCTCCAATCTCTTCTACAGACAAGCCACTGAAGCCACAAATTCGAAGCAATGGCATTGACACAGCCGATTTCTCACCACCTCGACGCTTGAAGACCAGTGAAATTCCTGAAATTGTTAATGATTTCAGGGTTGCTGCAAGGAATGCTATGGAAGCTGGTAATTCTTTTATGTTTTTTTTTCAAAATTCGACACAATTATTTAAGCTTAAGAAATACTAGAAAATTGGATAACCAAGACACGGAAACTTTTTACTTTTATGAGAGCAAACTAGATGATATTGGTGGAGAAATGGTGACCAAATTAGAAATTCATATTATCTTTGATTTCCTGTGAAACATTCTGAATATGAACACATCTCCACAAATTGCTGAAATAAATAAAAACTAGATGATAAAAGCAGTGTAAGAATATTCATCCAATATCTTAATCTACACACCCTCCCCCCCCCCCCCCAAGATAAAATCAAAGTCTTAAACTAGAATCCTAGATTAATGATTTATACCAAAGCATGGATATGTCATGTTATAACAACTTTTTCCTTGAAAATTGTCTACTTTAGCTTTTCTTAAACCTATATGTATCTGTTGCCTTGGCTGTTAGAAGCCGAAAAAAAATAAAAGTTACATTTAGCTGTTCTTCCTATTCTCCCCATAAATTCCAATGTGGCCATCATGTTTTGTTCTGTTCACTCATCCAAGATAACAAGTAGACTGATAGGTGTATTCTGCTTCTTTTTCTTTTCAAGGTTAGACAAACCCAGAAACTCAGATATGGTAGACAAACTTTCTTTTTCTTTACATTGCTTTCTGTCATTCCTGTTATTCGAGTTGAAAGAGACCTCGGACATCCTTTCACCACTAGGACGTCAATTTTTAAAACCTGGACCTATGTCCCAACACAAATCTCCTATACCTTTACTAAATTGATAGTTCTTCTTCAAGTGCAGGTTTTGATGGAGTTGAAATCCATGGTGCTCATGGTTACCTGCTTGACCAATTCATGAAAGATGAAGTCAATGACAGAAACGATCAGTATGGTGGGAGCCTGGAAAACCGTTGTCGCTTCCCTCTAGAAGTGGTTGAGGCCATTGTTGATGAGATAGGAGCTGATAAAGTTGGGATAAGGCTATCTCCTTTTGGCAGCCATTCGGATTCAGGGGACTCAGACCCAGATGCCCTGGGCCTTTACATGGCTGAGGCCCTTAACAAATTTGGGATTCTGTACTGCCACGTAGTTGAGCCAAGGATAAAGAACGCTGAACAGAATTGTGAAAGTCCCCATAGTCTTCTACCCATGAGAAAGGTTTTCAATGGTACTTTTATTGCTGCAGGGGCCTACAATAGAGCAGAAGGCAATAAAGCCATCGCAAATAATTATGCAGATCTTATTGCTTATGGTCGTCTGTTCTTGGCCAATCCAGATTTGCCACGGAGGTTTGAGCTTGATGTTCCTCTTAACAAGTATAATAGAGAGACATTCTACATATCCGATCCTGTTCTTGGTTACACCGACTATCCATTTCATGAATCTACCGCTTAGACCTTGGGGATGTATGAGTAAAGGACGCAGGATGATTTATGTCATAATAACTGCCCATTTCCTGAATCCACAGCTTAGCTTTTGAATTGGGCTTCCAAAGAGAATATAGAGATGTATTTGCTATTATTTCTCTTCTTGTCTGGGGATGAAAGCATCAGCAGATTTGATTGAAGTAACATGTCATTCAAGGTATTTCACATTTGGGATTGGATTTCCTACACTTTTCTCCTCAACTTTCTCCTATACTTCCATTCAGTCTGCGACAGGTGTCTCCTTACACGTGTGTAAATACTCATTCATATAAGAATACCCGTGATAGGACACCTATCACACACTGAATGAAAGTGTAGGAGATCAGAGTCTTCAAATTTTAGTCCCCACTTGAAAGTTCATATATGGTTTATCCAATTAATTCTAATCCTAACATTGACAACTATCTAATGACATGTATGCTTTGTTTGGGATCCACTATCCACGTTACCTTGGATTTCCGTTTACATTCTCCAAGTTCAAACTGCAAAGTGACAGAAATGAACCAAATTGTTTTAAGACTACAACCAACTCAAATACAAAAACATATGGACACTCAAATGGGAACAGAAACTTCCTGACCCATCACAGACTTATTACTTAAAGGGCTATAGCTTTCCCAATAAATCTGAGTTGTTGGTTAGGTAATGGAAAACTTATACAATGATGCCAAAATCAAGTCGAATGGTTAAGTTTTGACATCTTGAACTTGGACTATAAGAAAAGTGACTTGATTATAACCACGGTGTTTGAAATTCCAGGAACAAGATATTATCAATACCCAAAGACCATCAATCTCTGGGTGTAGCCTCCTTAAAAGATTATAAGCTCCAAAATGTAGGCTTCACTTAGGCCTACATCTCCCCTACAACCACCGACCTTTGGATTTGGAAACCTAACCCAAATGGCAAGTTCACTACCAACTCCTACTTCAAGGCTATAGTTTCAGAAGGCCAGGACACCACCTTCCCAGCCAAGAAGGTCTGGAATTCTCATATACCTCCTAGAGTATCCTTTCATTTGGGAGGCCTGTCTAAGGAAACTAAATACTTGTGATGTCTCTCCTCATGATGTCTCTCCTCATGTTTGCTCCCTCTGTCTCAACAATGGTGAGACAACGGAGCACCTTTTTCTGCACTATCCAATAACAAGGAAAATCTGGTGTTCCYTTTTCAATCTAGTGGGATTCAGCTGGGTATTCCCAGAACAGGTCATAGATCTTCTGCGACAATGGCACTGCAAAGGCCTTGGAAGTAGGGCCACGATTTATTGGAGTATGGCGACCCACGCAGTGATGTGGGGGGTCTATTAAGAAAGAAATAACAGAACCTATTGCTACTCGGATTAGTCGAGGGCACCAAAGTAATTTCTCCCCTAGGCTATGAAGATGGGCCGAAGGCTTCGAGGATTCGGGGACGAAGTGCTGAGGCCGAAGACTGGAGGCCAAGGCTATTCTATGCCAAGCTCTAAAGAAGCCGAGGGCTGGTAGCTGAAGTGCTGCAAGACAGAGGATGTCAGAGGCATCGGGTAAGAACCCGAGGTAGAGTCTCTGACGGTCAAGTTAGTACAAGGGTACGAGGAGGGGAATTAGGTTCAAACGATGGCTCCGAGGAGGTTGCTCATAGACGTTGAATTCCCCAAGTGAATACACTTAAGTATTGTAGTGGGATTAGATCCAGTATTGGTGGAGATGAACGCCTGAGATGGGAGTCGTACGAGGGCAGTCAACGAGCTCTGTGGGTACGTGTGGGCGCTCCGCGATAAGCTCCGTACGAGGTGTGCAGGATGGCCCCTGCTGTGGCGAGTCGCATCCCCGGGTCTGGCGCTTGTGGGCTGGGCCACCCCACATCACTTGCCCCCCACTCCCGAGGCTGAGGTGAAGGATACGGCTCCGGCTGATGAGAGTAGTGATGATGAGCGCCAGTGGGCTCGACGGCCGAGGTGTACCCTGTAGTGGCGTTCTCTTTCGTGTCTTTGCCTAGTCCGTCTTCATAAGTTGGGCCGAAGTTGCGAGTGATTTGCTACGCTGCTGCTTCGGGCAGGTGATTGGGGGGTCGTACTCTGCACGGGTCTATGCGTTGGGAGAGCACCCCGTGTGCGGAATGGCTTTCTAGTTGAACCGGTGTGCGCATTCACAGGATCGGGTCGCATGGGCCGCGGTGGGCAGACGCGTTGGTTTGCCCCGAGCATCGTTTCACCTTCCGAGGCCGAGTGCTCGGGGGTGCAGTGTGACTGGATCGCAGGTGCGGAGGCATCTTGTGCCCGTTAGATCTGAGACGATCCAAGCCGTTACTAGCGCGTCGTTTCGCCTTCCAAGGCTGAGCGTTGCACAACGCGCTGTGATTGGGTTGTGGAGGCGGTGGCTTCCCAGCCATTGGATCTTGAGACATTTGGGCCGTTCATTCTTCTTTAAATAGGGGCCTTGACGGTAGCATTCTTGTCATTTGCCTCTAAGTGCTTCCGCTTTCGAGTGAACTCAACTCCCAGACTCTCCAACCTTCGACCCTTCGTTTTCACTTTTCCCTCTACTTCCCTTTAGGTAATCTTAAATGATGTCTTTCTCAAACTCTGGACCTGAGTGCTATGATCTTCCGCATGAGTCRGAGGGGAGCCTTGCTCTAACCCCTTCTCCCCTTTCTCCTTTGAGTCCTTTTGTCTTTGTTCCCCTCCGACAAGAGGTTGAGGTGCTTTGGGAGAGGGTAGCCTCCAAGGGGCCGAAGGCAGCCGTCGAGGCAATGACTCCCCTGCAAAAGCGCTGCATCCGTGATGCCAAGGGAGGCCGAAGGGTCCTCCCAAGCCGAGGGGGATGAGATCCCAAATCCTGTCTCTGGAACAAGGGCTGAGGGTGCTGCCCAGGCTGCAGCTAAGATCGATCTCCTATGCCTAGGGTGTAAGGGTGCCTGAGGTGGGCGAACGACCATGGACTCCTAAGGAGGGGGAAATCTGCGTTTACCAACATTTTCTTTAGATCGGTCTTCGGATCCCCCTTCATCCGTTGATCCCTGAACTGTTGAGGGCGTATGGGATCACCCTTAGCCAGCTGGTGCCCAACGTCATTAGGACCATAGTGGCAATGCTGGTGGTGGCTTGGCTCCAAGAGGTAGAACTGACGCCGAAGCTTTTCCAGGCGTTGTTTGCGCCGAGGAAGCACACCTCCTAAAACGGCATGTATTATCTCCAACCCCTGGAAGAGTAAATTTTTCTTTTTGTCCTGTCCCGAGGGCTGGTCCTTCAAGTCAGGGTGGGGAAAGGTTCGTCAGGTTGCGGAGAAGAGTGTCCCCCTACTCACAAGTGAGGAGAACGATGATCTCGCGCGGTTACTAGACCTAGGGAGAGTCCAAGTCCAGCCTTTGGTGGAGGAGGAGGTCCCACTACTCTTTGTGGGGCTCAACCCTGCTCCCCTTGGTAGGAGAGGCCCTGTAGTCCCTTGACACGTTCCCTCATCCTCTACTTTGCATTGCGTTACTAACAACTTCATTTTGCTTGCAGAGGTGCCGATGAATGCTAGGAAGACTGTGATTGATCGTGCTCGCACGATGCAGAAAGAGCGGGCGAAGACACCTCAGAGGCCTTCCGAGGGCGTGCCAGCGCCAAAGTAGAAGGTCCCTATCCCTGTAAAGCGGGGGTCCTCTTGCCAGGCCCCCCGCCAAGGGGGCAGCTTCACAGGTCCCTGCCAAGGGACGACTCCAACAGCTCCCATGAAGGGAGTGGGAGCAACTTCACAGGTCCCCACTAAGGGGAAGAGGCCCGTCGAGGAGGGTCCATACGAGGTGGGAGTAGTAGGTGCCGCCGAAGCCTTCCGATGGATCAAGGAAGCCTGCCCAAGAGGCCAAGGCGGGGTAGAGGAGGCCAGCCGAGGAGGCCGTGGGGGATCAGCCGCCGCAGAGAGCGGCCCGCGCCGGGAACTCAGCGAGGGATGCCCCGAGGGGGTCCCATAAAGAACGGATGAGGCTATTTTCTACCCCCACACCCCTAGAGGAGCTCGCCAAGTGATCCAACCAGATCTTCCATCCCTAGTGGAACATCCACGAAGGGGGTCGGTCAGGCCCTAGTGAGCGGAGCCCTTCTCCCGAGGGATCGCTTTCAAATGCTGGGGAGCGCTTCAAAGAAGGTCTGCACCCAGGGTCTGGGAAGCTTGGCTGAGGTAACATTTGTCCCTTTTTCTTCATGGTTATTGTTTTGTAGAATAGTGACTGTTCCTTCGCTGCAGGTCTGCCTCCACTTTGTTGGCCTTGGGGATTGGCTGAAGCTGACATTGGCCCAAATGGATAGGCTGGAGGAAGAGAAGGAGAAACTCCATCAAGCTGTTGCCGCCGCCGAAGAGAAGTACCACAAGTTCCAGCAGAGCCTCATTGACAATCAAAAGTTCCGGATGGAGGCTCAGGCACAACTAAAGGAGGTGCAGCAGAGCCTCTCCAAGGAGCAGATGGAGAGGGCCCCATCGGAAGCCTTCTCTCCGAGGCTGAACGGCGCCTCAACCAGGCCGAGGGGGACGCTGTCGAGGCGAAGAAACGAATTGTCGAGGCAGAGAGGAGGGCTGAGGAGGCGGCGAAGCAAAGAGCGGAGGCCGAACAGAGAGCTACATCGTGGATTGCAACATGCGAGGCGATCCTAAGCAGAGATTGACGGCCTACATGGTATCTACTTTGTGGTCCCTTAGTGATGGAGCTCTGCTTCGCAGAGTACGCCTACTCGGTAAAAATGGTGAGCTGCAGAAAACCTATTGGAAAATTTGCAGAGTAGCGCCGACCCCGAGGTTCTATGGAGGTTGTACCGCAATCGGACGCACAATTTAGCATACATTATCATATTGTTACTTCCTCCTCCGTCTTCGTCTGCGGACTACCGCTGCAAGATCGCTATTGTTACCGAACCCAGCAACAATAACTAAAGCGAACCTGATGGTTTACGAATGTTCGAGTCACTGGACGCTACCATGCAAACATTGTTGTTCGGTTGGTCCTTGGTGGCCTTGAGGATCGATCACGAGATTAGCAGCCATGAACCCAAGCTTAAAACAGAGCAATACCTCATATAGCACCTAGCTATTTACTGGCATTGTGCTTGTTCTACGCATAATATTCTACGATTTAAACTAAGAATGGCAAAACATTCAAGTCATATATGGAATGTAAATGTAGAAAGCTACTTGTTCCTGTTTCCATCGATGATCAGGATAGAAGGCGGTGAGCTTTAGCCCATTGTCCGATGGTGAAACATTCATTTAGGAGCCTGTGATAGTCAAGTGCGCCCTTGCACCAGTAGTCCACAAACGAAGGATGAGTTGCGGAGCCTCCATTTAGGTCCCAACGAAAGAGTTGCAGAGAGGCTTGCAATGTGTTTCTCGGTAATCGTGCTTCCGTCCTTGATGGCGAGGATAGCGTTAGAAGCTGTTGTTTTGGCGAATGAAGAGCTTGTGAGGCTCCGACAGGAGGTTGCATCACTACAGAACGCGTCAGCTTATGCCGGAGATGAGGACAACGATAACAATGGAGGTTGGAGAATGAGAATTTCATTGGCTTTGGCTATGGCACTGTTTGTGCAGCCGAACCTTCTTTTGCTTGATGAACCTACCAACCATCTTGACCTCCGGACTGTTCTATGGTTGGAGGAATACTTGTGCCGGTGGAAGAAGACTCGTACCGTGGAAATTTTGATGATTTTGAAAGTGATTATGAACAACGTCGCAAACGGGATCTGCTCCTCACACTTGGGCGCCTCACATGCACATCCACCATACGTTGGGAACATCTCTGTGAATAATAACTTATAAGTATGGAAGATGTTCCCAATGCATGGTAGGATGTGCATGTGAGGCGCCCAAGTGTGAGGAGCAAATCCCATTCCGACGAAAAGAACTAGATCCAGTCTCCTTTTCATCCGATACTTCACTTTTGTATCAACGGAGAGGGATCAAATCAACCTAGAAACTAGTGGGTTTATCGTTTACACATGATGACGAGGATAATGATGATTGCCGGAGCCACAATCCATTTCATCTTCCTGAAATTTTTCATCAGTTGACTTTTAATTTAAAATTTTGAGGAACAGTGAAGGGTAAATTCGACATTTTACTTCTTTCCTTTAGTGTTTAAAAGCAATGTCAATTGTCAGAAAACTTAAAGATAATATATATACAGTAAGGGTAGAGTTAGTCAATTTCCTAAACTATAGGGATATTTTAAGAAATTTTCCCTAAACACAATATCCGAGAAACATACACCAGATATCCCCTAGGATCATGTTTAAAACAACCTAGACCAAGAACATGTGCAAAACAAATATAACCAAATACTTTTTGAGGAAGAGAAAATTGAGACACTCAGGACAAAGAAGATGTAGAATCTAAAATTTAAAAGCATGGGAGGGTATTAGGTTAATTTTTTGAGAGAAGGTAAACTTGTATTAATTTGTCAAAAAAGAGGAAGACCCCTATACAGTAAGGTGTTGTATAGGTACAGGCATCAAAATATGATAAGAAGAAAAGCTATGCAGAAAAGTTAGCCCAAGAAAAGACTTCTGCAGAAAAGTTATGGAAAGCAGTGATTTTAAACCATTTCCAACCCATCACCCAGAGATATAAATAATTTGGTTCAATCTTAAACCCATCAAATTCCACTATAAACACTAAATTCCAAAAACCCATTGGCACAATGAGAGAGCCACAATCTGAGTGATTAAACCATTAAATTGTTTGAATTGTTTACTGGGTGATATTTACAATTGTGACCTATAACTTGATTTTTTTAATTGAATTTTGAGTTGTGACTTGTAAAACCAGAAAAAGTGAGTCAACCAACCAAGAAAGTTGGAGGTAGGGGTAGGAGGTGTAACAACCAAGAAAGTGGGCAAAACAACCAATTAAGAAGGGGGAGAGGTGGACTGATTGACAAAACGGAGGTAGGGGTTAGGGAGTGTAACAATCAAGAAAATGGAGGTAAAATAAAAATAAAAGAAAAGGAGAGAGAGAGAGAGAGAGTATCAATTCCAGGACCAGGATCATCATCAACATGAAAAAAGATAACTTGTCAACTCTCATTAATTATCACCAGTGATATAGGATTTTGGAATACAGCATGGTATATAACTATTAGTAAACTATAAGATCATACATATAAAGATTCCAATCTAGTGCTTCTAAAGTCTTTAGGACTAAACTGTTCAACTTGAATGGTTAAACTGTCAAACCATCACCTGAAGGAGAAAATTTGGGATACAACATGGTATATAACTATTGGTAAACTATTACATCATACATATAAAGATCCCAATCTAGTGCTTTTAAAGTCTTTAAGGGCCAAACCGTTCGACTCAGATGGTTGAACCGTCAAATTGTCACCCAAAGTAGAAAATGCATAAAACATGGTATAAAGATCTCCAAGTCAGTTTTTAAAACTGAAACATTCACGGTAAGAACTACACTTGACCAGAACCATTTTGGAAATGCATACTGATGAGGAGGGTTCAGGTAACCTTTAACAAATGCCTATTCTTACACTCAACAACACCATTCTATTGTGGGGTACAGACATAAGAAACTCAATGAATTATGCCAAGGTTGGTAAAATAAGAGGTCGATGAAGAATCAATTGACTCCCTCCCATTATCAAATCTAAAACACTTGATATTTGTATCAAATTGGATAAGAACCATTCAGTGAAACTTCTTAACAAATAACAATGGTAAGGACTTCATCATAGCTTTTCTTGAGATAAACCATCCACAAAAGTAATAAAGTACCAAAAATCCAAATAAAAATGTCATTCTCACGGGATCCACACATCGCTATGCAGTATGCACAAGTTGAAAAATAACTCAACTTTTTATTCTCAATTAAAGAATATGTGATTCTACAATATTGGACAACTAACAAGTTTCATGCAACAATTCAAACAACTGAACTAACTCAAACCATGAAGGAAAAAATAACCTCAATGATTTAAAGGACAAATGAACCAAGCATCTATGTCATGAACGAATACACTTTTTATACTTAGACCAAACACAGGCTGACCCAACTTAGACATATTAGATGTAGACATAGAAGTAGAGATCACATGCTTCACAAGTCACAACCATGTCCCATCACCCTCTTCATGGTCAAGTCCTGAAATATACAATGAGAAGGAAAAAAAAAAGGTCACCGAGCAATTCAATCAAATGGTGATAGGTTTGTGGGAAAATTGGGAACATGTTTGATATATATATATATAGTTCCTTTCTTAAAAACAATGGAAAGGGAACCATCAACCATCAACAGTTATTACTTTATCATGTCCTAAGAAAATTGAATAAGAAGAAAGTCAGATGGAATTACCTGTTGTATAATCTGATCCCCATAATCAATGATCCAAGGGTTGGGAGACTCAAAGGAAGTAGCATGATGAGCAGAATGAATACCTGACTGAGCAAACAAGATAGTAGGAGACACAATTGCACCATATCACTATATGAAGATGATGGAGTAGTGGAGACACATTGAGTAGATTTATAAGAGACCTCTTCCTTACTAGCAGTTATCCTTTGCTAACCATTTAAACTGCCTGAAGTCATTCCTCAAGCGCCATGTCACTCCTTCCCCTTTCTTCAGCCATTTCACAACAGTTCTCGAATCACCCTCAATGACTAAGTTACGATGCCCAACTCCTGGGCCTGCTGAACAGGGTAATTTGGCAAGAGCAGAACCGTTAGCTGCAGCATATGGGGTCAAGAAGGCAAAGGAGTTGGGCATTGATAACCTAGTCATTGAGGGTGATTCAAGAACTGTTATGAACTGAAGAAAGAGGAAAGGGTGACATGGAACATGAGGAATGACTTCAGGCGGTTTAAATGGTTAGCAAAGGACAACTGCTAGTAAGGAAGAGGTCCCCTGTAAAGATGAACCTAGAAGATGAACCAACAATAACAACCCAGGCCCTAAAGAAGTCTTCAACCTTAAAGTCTAAAAACAGTTTCGAACTTTTTTCCCATTGTGCCACTCTTAAGTTTATCATTTCCACCAGGGCTTCCTTACTCCTTTCTCTTTCTCAAAATATTCTTGAATTTCTTTCCTCCCAAACTGTCCATAGTACTGCTGCTCTTGTACATCTCCCCATGATCCTGCCCCTCCTTTTAATACAGCTAAAAACAAAAGGGCTAAACAATCCTTCCAACTTGTCAAGATGAGACCAAAAGCATCCAAAGAGGGAAGAAAACCAATTCCAAATAAAGCTAGCAAGAAGGCAAGAGATTAGGAGATGAAAGGCAGTTTCACCACTTAACTTGCACATAATGCACCAGTTCGGGGACAAACACCAAGTTGGTCTTTTTCTTTAAAGCAAGTCACAGGTATTAATACAGCTATGAAACACATCCCAACAAAAAGCACTGATTTTCGAGGGAATGGGAAAGAACCCAACTTCCTTAACTAGGAAAGGAGAGGATGAAGTGGCAAACAAAGAATTGAAGAAAGATTTACAAGAGAACAGACTATCAATGTTTAGGCCCCAAACCCTGGAATCCATACCCCTTTCATCCAAACAACTGAATTCAACAAGCCAAGCAACTCAGACACACTAGGAAGTTCAGCTTCTCTAAGGTTCCTGTTAAAGCCAAAGTTCCAATTCAACCCAGAAGGAAGAAGTTGTTGGGTCAAGAAATCAGATATAGGTCTACCCTTAAAAACTGGAAAGGTCACAAAGAGCAGGAAATCTCTCACCCAAAGGGACATCCTCCCAAAACCTAATTTTTTTATCCAAAGCCACCAAGTCATACCTAACATGATTTAGAAAGGTAGGAAGAATTTCATGGATGACCTTCCAAGGGGAAAGCCAAGGTAGTTGTATGAAGACAACCAGCATCCCATCCATTGCTAGATATGTCGTGAATGCTTGCAACATTCTTCAGCTTGACACTACCAATTCCCAACCCCTTTCTGCCTTTGATTTCACCACTTTGTCCCATCTAACCAAGTGATCCTTCTTCTTTTCCTCCGGCTCCCAGAGAATTTTTTCAATTTTCCTCACTATCTCTTGGGGCATCCTAAACACTGACATGTAGTACACTGGAAGGTTTGCAAGGGTGGACTTAATAAGAGTTAATCTCCCCTCCCCCCATTGTAATATAGTTCCTTTTCCATCCAGCCATCCACTTCTTAATCCTCTCCACCTCAAGGTCCAGAAACTAATTGATCTAGGGTTGTCACCTAGGGCCTAAATATCTCAGAGGCCACTCTCCCATCTCACAACCTAAAGTGCTTGCCATGTCCCTTAAATCATCTTCTTCTACATTGATTCCAGCAATTAAACTCTTAGACCAATTAACCCTCAAGTTAGACAACCTCTCAAAGAGTCACTACCAACTTCAAATTTTCCACCCCTGCCTTACAGTCACCCTCACAAAATATCAGAATATCATCTACAAACTGCAAGTGAGTAATCAAAATGTTCTCTCCCAATTGTCCAACCTCTGAACAATTGCAGGGAATTTGCTCTAGAGATCAGCTTACTCAACCCTTCAGCTACCAAAGTTAAAAGAAAAGGAGAGAGAGGGTCACCTTGTCTAAGCCCACGAAATCCCTCAAAGAAATCAAACACCATCCCATTAACAATAACAGAGTAATGGCTAGACTGTAAGCAACCTCTGATCCATTTACACCACAAGTTCCCAAAGCCACACCTTCTTATGATATCAAATAAGAAATTCCAATCCACCAAGTTGTAGGCTTTCTCCAAGTCCAACTTGATTGCCACAGTTCTCACACTCCATTTCCTTGCCCCAATTACCTTGCATCACCATTGTTATCTGAAATCTTGTGTGATCTGGATTAACCAGGCAGAAAAATATATGTGGAAAAAAGTCTAGAACTTTCAATCTTGCTCCAATTTCTATAGAACAAGTTCCCATAACCCAGAACTATGCTACAGATCAAGTGGACTGACCTGGCATAAATTCAATTTTGAATCCCTGTGATCACAAACGTATAAACTGAAATTTCTTCACATTTTGAAGAAAATCCTCAAAAAATATGGCTTACTCCCATAATTGGCATCCTACTACATGGTGAAGTTTTTTTCTTTTTCAGCCTATGAATTGTTGACTGTACAGTGTCAACCATCACCTGTACAGTATGGTGATACTGGCACTTACACTATGTAGATCAGAATTGAAGTGAAGATTCAGCCAAGACCCTTGATCAGAGATGGCACTGATGCGACGTTGCAAACATGATTAGGGTTTTGTAGAAGAAGAAAAAGAAGAAAAAGAAGAAGTGAAGGAGAAGAACAAAGAGGAGAAAATTTTGGAATGAGAAAGCCAATCTATCATGCTTCTCTCACTTGTTCTATCAAATGTGTGAAGTAATAAGGGTGAGAAATTACAACAATGTGTATATACATGTGCTACAACCAGATTTACCAATAATAACATAGGACAAGCTCCATCTCTTAGCACCTATCAAATCAGATTCCCCCTCCCTCAATCTGAAATTAATTTCTGCCTAAATAAAATTCTTTTGAAAAAAGTAACTACTGTGTTGGAAAAATAGATAATGGAATTAACCAAGTAAGAATGAATGAACAAAATTATACTTTCCGTCCTTGTTGCAGAATTGATAGAATGAACTACACAAAAGGGTAGCCCTTCCTCAACCCCCACCCAACCCCCCAAGGTGGGATTCAATACCAGGTCTCACTAAGGCAAGAGAATTTACCAGCAAGCTAGATGGCACCTTCAGATTATTTGCAATAAAACTAAATGAAAGAAAAAGGATTGGTAGGTGAATTACCTTTGAAATTTGGTCATGATAGCCAACTGAAGGAAACCAATCAATCAATCATCATCAAAGTCTTATTCCAACTAATATGGGGTTGACTACATGAATCCTGTTTCAGCATTAAAGGGCAGCCTAGTGCACGAGGCTCCTGCTAATGTGGGATCTGGGGAGGACAGGTGTATACATAGAGAGTCTGTTTCACCCTTCTGTTCTATTTAATGCCATATCTATTGTTGGATTGTCCTAGCATACCCTTGCCCATTTGATACTACACTTGAGTTAAGGTGTAACATGTTGTTTTTGGATAACACCCTAGCATGATCATAAGAGTTCAGCAAAAGTTTTAGTGCCAGCTGCAAACCTGATGCAACCCTCCTCGTTTATCTGGGCTTGGACCGGCAATGTAAGACAAGCTCACATCAATAGCCAACTAAAACTGTAACTTATCCATCAAAAAGAAACTCTGGAGCTTGAAAGTTAAAAATATCACATCCCCCACAGAAGGATACCAAGAACTCTCTCAAATCTGCAAAAGATAAATAAATAAGAATGTCACCAGGTCTCACTGTACTGCAGGAAAAAAATATTACATAAGTGAAATCAATGGATGCTAAATTGAAACTTGTTTCACAAACCCAATAGAAGAGAAAATTACTGCTTTAACTAACAAGAATCATAGGAGCATTTCACCAATTCAGTCTATCAAGCATACAATTCAATTTAGCACTAGCAAATATACTAAACCCTCAATTGTTACACAGACGTGTTAAGGGACACGGCATTTACAAGGTGTAGGACATGTAATTTAGACTAAAAATTGAAGTGTATGACAAGGTTATGGCATCCATTTTGAAGCGTCCACAAAACATGCCCTAGAAATTCCAGAGATGCATAACAGAAAAAAAAAAAACAAAGAAAATTGACATTAAAACAACCAGAAAATAACAAACCCCCCAAAAGAATTAATCAGAAAAAAATGGAGAGAGAGAGAGAGAGCAGGCAGCAGGATTGGTCATGTGAGGGTTGACGTTTGATGAACGAGTTCATTTCTTGAAATTCTAAATAGTCCTTTTCCCATTTTTTAACACTAATGCAGTAACTCCAATTTTGTGAATGTAGATGTATCCCAGGTGGTTCCTGAATGCTGCATATATTTCTAATTGTAATGGATCAAGTGTATTGTTACTTATCCAACTAAGAAAATGAATGTGCTAAATAGTGAAAGAGATCATTTTAAGATAAAAATTTGCCTGCTTAGCTTTTCCATATTGCCATGTTATGATGGAATGTACATGTTGGATCTTATCCCAGTCCTCTCCATTTCTTTGAAATCTGGAGTAGAACCTCTCAGGCATGTTCAGTTCCAACTGAGTAAGAGTAGTAATACTTCTCAACCCATCTGGAAGCATATCTAGTTGCTCACAGTTCTTGATTTTCAAGGCTCTAAGTTGTGGAAAAGCTCCTCCATCCACCCTCCATTCCTTCAATTGATCCAAGTAGATAAGTTTGAACACTTCAAGTTTAGGAAATCCTCCTTCAGAACAAACCAGTTTGTTTCCCAAGTAGGACCAATAACCCAAGACAAGATTTCTTAGATTTAGCAGCCTTGAAAGTGTAGCCATGGGGTCTTCAAGCAAGTTGGTGCTTTGCAAAGAAAGCTTGGTGAGATTTGGTGGGAATTCGTCATGGTTGGGCAGCTTCTCTAATTTCCCTTGTAACACAAGCTGACGAAGATTCCCATAGTGGGAAAGCATCAAGGCTGGTATTACAGGTACATCAGGAAATGGAAATTGTGTTCGTCCCTCCAATTGCAAATTTTCTAGTTGATCTGATATGGCCTTGGGAGTAGATAGCACCTTAGAATGTAACATGATTTGACCATGGATTTTTAATTCCCTCAAACTAGTCATCTCGCATAAGCAACTTGGTTCCAAACTAGAGCCTTGTATCATCCATAGGGTTTGGAGATTTGGTAAAGAAACCTTATCAACAGCTCGGTGACGATCCATTCTGTATCCAAAAATGAATGGATTTCTTAACTCAGCATAAAAATCCAAGATTATATGCCTCAGTTGTGTCATCAACCAAATAACACTAGGCACGGAATAGTAGTTTGTGCTTTGGATGTCCAAAGTTTCTAGGTTTTTAAGATTGCTTATTGTGGATGGAAGGCTTTTGAACTTGGTGTCTCTTAATCCTAAGTACTTCAAATGAATGAGAATTCCAAATTCATCAGGTAAATCTTCAAATTGAACACCCTCGAGATTTAACACTCTAAGCAATGTGAAGCCCGTGTAGATGAATCTCAGATGCTCTATTTCAAGCTTCTCCAATTCCTTTTTAGACCTTTGATCTTTCTCAAGGCTTTCCCAGTCTTTTTGGAAGCATAACAGAGCACGAAGCTTCGATGTATAATGGTTCAGAGAAATGTAGCTACAAACACTACAATAGATGGCAAGTCTACGCATTTTAGCATTTGCATCGGAGTCCAAATTCCTATAAATACCAAAGAAGTCATCTTCCTTGGCTTTTGAAATGCAAAACTCATGCAAAACATCATGAATTGTGCATGCCTTAACCCTACCACCGAAGCTTCTCTTTGCAACCTGAATCAGATTCCTATAGATTAGCTCATCAAGGTAACCTCTTGCGACATCCTCTAGTCTTAGCTGTCCTTGGTATTGTATGAATCCTTCAGCCATCCACAAATTGATCAATCTGCTAACGGGGATTTCAAGGTCTTCAGGGAGAAGACCAAAATAAAGAAAGCATGGTTTCAAATAGTAAGGTAGATCAATGTAACTCAAATATAATGTCATTTGGCATTCACCATTGGCTTCTCCTTCCATGCACTGAAGCACTCTCAACCATACATGCTCTGCCTTGTCCTTCAAGGATAGAAGACCTCCCATTACCACAATAGCAAGTGGCAATTGACCACATCTTTTCAAGATTTGTCTTCCCAAAGGTTCCAATTCTGGTGGGAAACGTCCAATACCATCATCTGGGAACACTTTCTTGGAGAAAAGTTGCCAACTCTCATTGTAGCTTAGAAATCCAAGCTCATGGGGAGAGCTACCTTGGGCAACATGTTTAGCTACATCATGGTTGCGGGTAGTAACAATGATTCTGCTCCCATTCATCGTATCGGGGAAGAATTCTTTAAGAAATTCCCACACCTCAATTGCCCATAAATCATCAAGGACAATAATATAACTTCTCTCCTTCAAGAAACTGAGGAGGTTCTTTTCCACATTCTCCTCCCATTCCTCTTTTTTGAGCCCTATCTTTTTTGCTATCTCCTCTAAAATGTAACTGGGGAGCCTAGGCTTTCCAGAAATATAAACCCAAGCATGGCAATGGAAATATGGTTTAACATCATTATAAACTTTCTTGGCAAGAGTGGTCTTACCCAACCCGCCCATCCCAACAATGGGTATTACGCAATATTTTATTCTCTCGTCAAGCAATCTTTCCTTCAACACTTTGATGTCTTCCACGAAACCAACAATATCCGGTTCAATGTACTTTGAGAAGTACTCCCTTCGTTGCTGAAAGCTTACAGCCACTTCTCCTGCTGCTGCTTCAGTGACATTGCATTCGATGCCGTACGTATCCCTGCTCCTCTTGATATCTTCACTTCTCCTCTTGAGCCCTTCGATCTGCATCACGAATTCATGGGTTGCAGCCGAGTCACAACAGATACAAGCGAACCTTCCAAGGAAGCCAAATAATCGTTTCTTTCTCCTCCACCAGCTTATCCTTTTGAGAAAGTATGTGCCAATGATGTCTTCCGTGTCGTAAGCGAAATCCCTCACATCGCGGACCCAGTTCTTGACCCTCTCGTCCCCTTCTTGTTTGGCATCTGCATCTATCAGAAACGACTTGGTTTCATCCAATTCTTTTCTGATCCATTCGATTTGTTCATCCAATCTATAGAAGCGAATGCCTTCTTCAAGGCTTAGATCGCCCAATATGTTGGTGAATTTTCGAATGGCTTCACGAACAGCAATATCTGCCATCTCTCCTCTGTCTTCTCGGCTCACCGAGTTTTGTCAAGTCAACCAAACGATTGCAGGCTCATTTTCTTTCTCAAAAAGAAAAAGTAAAAAAAAAAAGAGTAAATTACAGGGAACCTCGTACTGTGGAGTCAATGACAGTTACCTCTGAACTTTCATTTGTGACAACGACTCCCTGGAGGCATGGTAACAAGCTCTGCTGCTCTGGTTCGTTCTTTCTTCGGCAACTATGACAAGCTTTGGTTCTTTCTTTTTTCCAGCAATTGTGACAGGCTTCTGTTCATTGTTTCTTCTTTGGCAACGCCAGAATAGCGAAGAAACAATAGGTTTTCATTTGTGGCGTAATAGATGAGAAGGAAGTTTTCTCACAGGACATTTTTTTTTTCTTCTCCGGCAATGGCTGGCGTAATAGTGATAGAGACATAGGGTTATTTTGGTAATTTAACACCTTTCGTCATCCTGCTCACACCGGTCAAGTGGTACTTTATTTTGTCTGTCGAAAAGTGAAAGATGTTAAGACTTTAGTCCAAGTTTTGATCGTGAAGACTGGGGAGGGAGAGATGGCAGACATTGCAATCGCTGCAGTAATCCGAAAAGTAATCGACATACTTGGTAATCTAGTCCTCGAAGAAGCAATTCGTTGGTACAGATTGCGCGAGCATGTCGAATGGATCGAGAGAGAGCTCAGACGGATGCAATCCTTCTTAAAAGATGCAGACGCCAAGCAAGAAGGAGATTATAGAGTCAAGAACTGGGTGCAAGATGTGCGGGATCTCGCCCACGACTCGGAGGACATCATCGACGCATTTCTCCTCAAAATTATACGCAATCAAAGGAGGAGGAAGGGGTGTGCTATCTTTCTTCGGAGGTCCATCTGCATCTTCTGTGATCATGCGACTACCCATGAGTTCACCATGGAGATCGAAAAGCTCAAGAGAAGAGTGGAAGATATCAAACGGAGCAGGGACACTTATGGCATTGGAAACCTTGGCAGTGGAGGAGCAGAAGGGGCAAATAGTGAGCATGACAGGCAAATTTTTTCTCAGTTTGATAAACCAGAAGTTGTTGGACTTGAGAATGAGATCAACTCATTGGTGGGGAGATTGCTGGATGAGAGTATTCATTCTTGCGTAATCGCCATCGTCGGAATGGGTGGTTTGGGTAAGACTACCATCACTAAGAAAATTTATAATGATGTTAAAGAAAATTTTGTTTGTTGCGCTTGGGTTTATGTATCTCAAAAGCCTAGACCAGCCAGAGAAATATTGCAAGATATAGGAAAGCAAGTAGGACTTAATAAACAGGAATGGGAGGAGAATGTGGAGGAGAACCTCCTCAGATTTTTACAAGACAAGAGGTATGTAATTGTTCTTGATGATCTGTGGGCGAATCAAGTATGGGATAATCTTAATGTCGTTTTTCCAAAAGGTGCAAATGGTAGCAGAATAATTCTTACCACCCGCATCATAGGTGTAGCCAAACATGCAGCCCCATGTAGCCCTGTTCATACGCTTAGATACCTAAACCAAGAAGAAAGTTGGGAGCTCTTCTCCAGGAAGGTTTTCCCTGGACAAACTAATGCAAGTGGTAGATTCCTCCAAGGCTTAGAAGATTTGGAAGATTTGGGAAGAAAAATTGTAGGAAAATGTGGTGACTTGCCACTTGCCATTGTGGTAATGGGAGGTCTTTTATCATTGAAAGAAAGAACATACCCTGTGTGGTCCAGAGTATTAGGGAGCATGGGAGAAGCTCCCCAAAACCAATATGGCAAGGCATTGCAATTGAGTTACAATGATTTACCCTCCAACCTAAAACCTTGCTTTCTCTATTTTGGCCTGTTCCCAGAAAACCATGAAATTCCTGTAAGAAGATTGATCAATTTGTGGGTGGCTGAAGGATTTGTACAGCCTCGTGGGAGACTTACACTAGAAGATGCAGCAGAAGAATATCTGGATGATCTAATCCTTAGGAACTTGGTTCAACCAGTGAAAAGGGGCTTTGATGGTAGAATGAAAACTTGCTGCATTCATGATCTTTTGCATGAATTTTGCATTTCAAAAGCCAAGGAGGATAATTTCTTTTATGTATGTGATGGTTTATACAATGCAGATGCTAGAATGCGTAGGCTTGTCACCTATCATAGTCTTTGTGAATGCATTTCTCTAAAATGGTCTACTGACAGGCACCGTTCTCTGCTTTGCTTTGAAGGAGGAAATCTTGAAAGAAAACAACTGGAATTTATTTATTATGGTTTCAGATTTCTTAGAGTGTTGAATCTTGAAGGAGTACAGTCCCAATGCCAGCTTCCCGATGAAATTGGAGATCTCATCTTTTTGAGGTACTTCGCATTGAGAAACACCGGGTTCACAAGGATTCCATCCACAATGGGTAAACTCAAGTACCTGCAAACTTTGGATATTCAAAGCACAAAATGCTTCTGCATTCCTAGTGTTATTTGGAAAATGAAACAATTAAGACATATCATCCTGGGTACACCTACAGAATTTAAAAATCCGTTCAAACGTAGCTACCCTATTAAGTACCGGAAGCCATCTGTTAATAAGGTATCTCTAACAAACCTCCAAACTCTATGGATGATACCTGGTCATGCTTTGGATGCAGATTGGCTTTGCAAGTTTACAAATTTGAGGAAATTGGGGATTTATGGTGACGTCAAATTACATGCCAAGGTATTGTCCAACTCAAAGCCCATATCAGAGCACCTGGAAAACTTGCAGTTGGAGGGACAAGATATTGCATCTCCTGTTTACACTGGTATTTCAGATTTGGTTATTTCACGCTATGAAAACCTTCGTAAAGTTTATCTTGGTGGAAAATTAGAGAAGCTTCCCAACCACGATGAATTTCCAGCAAAGCTCACCAAACTTTCATTGTTCGGCTCTAGATTAAATGAAGACCCAATGGCAACACTGGCATGGCTGCCGAGGCTAAGGATATTAAAATTAGATGAGGCTTCTTACCTAGGAGTGAAAATGGCCTGTTCTGAGGCAAGCAGGTTTCAACAACTTGAAGTCTTAACACTTAGAACCTTGCCTAACTTAGAGGAGTGGAGAGTGGATGAAATAGCTCTACCAAAACTTAGAATCCTGACAATCAGTAGTTGCAGAAAATTGAATATGCTTCCAGATGGATTGAAGAATGTGTCTACCCTCACTAAGCTTATTATTGAGATGCCAGAGGAATTCAATAGAAGGCTTCAGCAAAATGGAGAGTTCCGGGATAATATTAGACATGCAACCACTGTTATTAGGCAGTGCCAATAAGTTTGCACAGATAGAGACAGGCATGGTAGGACTTTTATGCTAACTGCCTTGTCCAAATGGCATGGCACCCAATAACTAATTGAGTCTAAGTGGCAGTTACCTTTTTTAGCATTATTATGTTTCTCTTTCCCTATTTAATATAATTTTTTTCTGAGTTGGCAATTCACTTAGCCACTATATGAACAGAATTCATTAGTTGGTTATCTTACAATTGGGAAAGATGGTAAATTTAGTGAGGCATCACAATTAAGATTGTCAATATAAATTTGTTACCTTTATTTAGAAAATCCCGAAGGATATGAATTATTACATAAAATGATGTTGTTAAATAGATTGTGTCCTTCAATGCCTGGCTTCTGTTGCTTATCTTTCAAAATGTACATGTAGGCTAATATAATAGCTATAAGAATGCCTGGAGCATTGAGGCTAGGATTACCTTTTTTTTTTGGTAATAAATAAGATCACCTGGTTAATATGTGGATTGCCTCATTAGTATTAGAAAAAACATGCCTGTCTTATTCCAATTTTGTGGGTTGAATTAATCCAAAGTCCTGTTAATAATCATAATAAAGATAATGATGGTGGTGATGATAACAACAATAATAATAAGGAATATTTGGTCCACCGATTGAGCTGCTCCTAGTCCTGTACCAACAGACAACAAAGAACAAGCCTGGTAGCAGCATGGACCATGGTTTTAAACTTTCACCCAAAGTTTGCTAAATTTTTGGGTATGAAGGGTTAAACTGAATACTTCTCCCATATTTATTCTGGCCAAGATTTTTGCAAATTCAAAACATTTTGGAATATTTTTAATGAAAATTTTGGAATAATTAAAAATATTAAAATATGACGAAAGTTTTGGTTGACAAACAGTTTTTAGTACTTTTAATGTTTTTAATAGTACTTGTGAATATGTATATGCAATAGAAACTTTAGAAATGATGATGATGATAATGACAAAAACTGATATTTCTAAAAACAGGCTTAGCATTTTTAGAAGTTTGAAACTTAAGACCACATAAAATTGCTAACTATGAATCTGTTAGTTATGTACCATGAATCAACAAGTGCAAGAACTTTGATTCATTTAATTGGATATTTTTTAGTTCCTTTTACTACCTACTAATGGTTTGTTTACAGCATAGTGGCATCAAATAATGTTCTTGTTTGTTTCAGTATAGAGAGACTTCTTAGTATCCACCATATGGGGATGTGTTTTTTTTTTTTTTTTTTGTCAAGTTACATGTATTTTATCTAGGTATTGATTTCCTACAGCTTGGAAATCATGATATATTTTTAAAGGTAATTAACCTAATTATTTTCTTTGTTTGTTTGTTTTTTTTTTTTGGAAAAGAGGTAAGGTAAATTTATTTATGAAGAAAAGATAATCATACAAGAATTGGGGAAACCACAAGCCAGTTCACCCCCAAAGGATATGATCATAGCTCCCACAAACTAACTGAGCTAAGCATCACAAACATGTTCTGATTACAAAACTCAGGGATGATAGAAAGCCAAGAAGCAAGTCTGGCCACAATACACTGGATTAACACCTCAGGTTCTTTCTTCTCTTTCTTTGTTTGTTTTAATTGGGATATGGCTAAATTCTTCACATTCCTTCCCTTTGTTTTGCTATTTGAGATACAGCTTAACTGAGTAGATGATATTCATTATCAAGTTAGTGGTGATTAAACAGTTTCTCTCTATTTATGTTTTTGATAATATATAAAAAAAAAATGTCTATATTATTTCCTTTTCTCTTTAATTTTAATGGTGGTTGTTTAGTTGTAGTTACTCTTTAATTTTAAAGATCCGCTGTACAACCAGGGGCTGTACAATAGGGAATTTATAAAAAAATTCACTATAACATCAATTCTTGACTGTTTACAAAAAGATTATCGTATTCAAGAAAAGAAAAGGAGTTGAACCTCCTTCCTATAAACTGTTTATGGTTTGACAACCACAATGGTATCAGTCCTATTATCCTTTTAACAATTATCTCCTTTGAGCTTACTTTCCTTTTAAATACCTTTGCATCCCTTTCAACCCAAATAATCCAGAGCACATGCAGGATAGTAGTCCAAGAAACCTTGTTTGATTTGCTCAACCCCTTTAAGTTGCAGCATTTAAAGAAATCCGTAACAGTAGCTGGAAAACAAGTCTTAAATGCAAACAGACCAAGCACCTTCAACCATACATTGTAATTTGTAAGAGAACACACAATGTTATAACAGATGATTCACTGATTCTATTCCCCTCTCGCACAGCACACAGTTAAGAACTTAACATCTTCCTAATTCATTCTTCTCCTCATCAGGTTGTCCTTTATAAGAGTTTTGTCCAACATTGCAGGCCACACACACACACACAAACAACAAAAAAAAAAGCTACTTAAGGAATCTTTAGACACCAAACTTTTGAGCTATGGAACTCTATTTCAGGAGACAGTACTATATTGTTGTAAAAAGATTTAACAGTAAACTGTCCTGATTTCTCCATTCCCATTCCCATCTCTCACCCCTACTTCTGTCCAGCTTTACATTGGGAAGTTTTTATAGTAACTCCACCAGCAGACTTGCTTCCCAGTCATTCAGATTTCTTTGCCAACTGTGGGTCCAGACTATATTATCATTGGACTTGAAAAGAAACAGCCACCACCACCTTCTTATTTAGTGCTATTTCATAAAGTGATTAAAAAAATCTCCTCCAATTGTCTTTACAAGCACTCGAAAACAATAGTACAATGACTAAGGGAGAGTAACACTGGTTCATGAGTTTACAGAATTATTTTAAGCAAGATTTTAAAAAGGCTGAAAGTGGAGACCAGGTGGTTGGGTGTTGGAGAGGCAAGGTGTAAGCCTCAATATCTATCTATCCATATACTTTTTACATAAGCTTAAGAAAGATTGATAAAATTGGATAACCTAGATATAGAAAATGTTTTACTTGTATGAGAGAAAACTTTGTGATATTGGTGAAGAAATGGTGACCAAATTAGAAATTCATATTATCCTTTTACAATGCTCGAATAAATGAAAACTAGATGATAAAAAAGTAACATAACTACATAAGTGCATTCACATCTTAATATGAGCCTCCCCCCCCCCCAAAAAAAAAAAAAGTTTTTAACTAGATTAATGATTTATACCTAAATTATGAATTTGAATTTGTCATGTTATAACAACTTTTTGCTTGACATGTGATTACCTTAGATTTTCTTGAAGTTACATTTAGCTGTTACCTTGCATGCATAGTTGTCAAGGCGACACCTAGGCGACTAGGCGCTTTTCAAAGAGCGCCTCGTCCAAATGCCATATGTTTTGCGCACTAGGTGCCCGCCCATAGACTTAAGCGGGCGCCTACATACAACGCGAGCGCCTACATGCATCTAAAAAAATTATTTTTTTTTTAATTTATTAGTTTGATATTTCATTGGTTGTTGTATTCTTTTAAAATAAACCTGTTACATTGTATCATTTTAGTATTAAGAGAACTATACATTGTATCATTTTAGTATCTCTATTTTCTTTTCTAAATCCTTGTATCACAAGGGTTTTGGTTCGACTGGCGAACACTGCAAACTCGAGCAGCCCAGCTCCATCACACCTTAGTTCGAGCAGGTAAGCTGATAACTTCAGTTCTTCTTCTTCTTCTTCTTTTCCAGATTTCAGAGTTTCAGACTTTTTTTTCCTTTTTTTCCGAAAAAACAGAGGCTCTGCCAGTCCTCCCCTTCTTCTTCTTCTTCTTCTTCTTCTTCTTCTTCTTCTTCTCAGAAATGAATTAATAATACATTTCAGAGTAGAGTCTCCGCCCTACTCAATCAGTATTTCAGTCATGATTCACACTTGAATCATCTCAGTTTTTAACAGCCGAAGCTGCCAAACCTACTCTTCTTCTCTTCTTCAATTCTTCTCTAATCTCTTCTTTAATTCTTCTTCTTCTCATTCAAATTTTTTTTATATCATTAATATATATGATTATATGGCTGAATTTTTTTATATGGATGAACTACATGGCTGAAACTTGATTAATTGATTATATATATATATATATATATATAGTTGGTTTAGACTCCTTTTTATTGATAATATTTTATATTTTTATCTTTTTATATGAAATTTATACTCATTTGAATGATTTATAGTGTTAGTTAGTGTACATGATTGCTAGTAAGCACACAAAACCAATAAAATGACTTAGAAAAGCATATATAAAGTAAAAACTCAATAAAGCAAACACTTTAAAATTCCAACGCCTAGCCTTGCCTAGGCGCCTGGGTGCCCTGTGGTTGCCTAGCCTCACCTAGGCGCCTTGAAAACTGTGCTTGCATGTTGGAAGCCAAAAAACAAAAAACATATATTTAACCATTCTTTCTATTCTCCTTTTGCCTTCCTGTATGGTCATCATGTCTTGTTCTGTTCACTCATCCAAGATAACAGCAGAATGGTTCAACTGAGATCACATCTGCTGTGAACGTGGTTGCAGCACTCCCTTGCGATCCCCCAATTAAAGATGGACAAACCCAAAAATGGAAATTAAAAAAAAAAAGCAATTCATTGTTCTAAATTTATTTCTGCCACTAGCATGTTTGTGTTTCATTCATGGTCACAAGAGAGTTCTGCCACCACAGTCACAGCAGATGTGAACTTCATCTCTAGGCTGATTAATATATTTTGATTGTTATTTTTCTTTTGAAGTGTAACCTTGTTGACATTAAAAAAAAAAAAAAAAAATCTATGAAACCCAGAAACATGAGCTTTTTTACATTGCTATCTGGTATTCCTGTTATTTGTGAGTTGGAAGAGTTCTTCAACATCCTTTCACCACTAGGAGTCTAGGACATCAATTTTTTATAACCTGAATTTATGTCCCAACTCAAACCTCATATTATCTTTACTAAATTGATATTTCTTCCTCAAGTGCAGATTCTGATGGAGTTGAAATCCATGGTGCTCATGGTTACCTACTTGGCAAGTTCATGAAAGACTAAGTCAATAACAGAAACAATCAATATGGTGGGAACCTAGAAAGCCACTGTCACTTCCCTCTAAAAGTAGTTGAGGTCATTGTTGATGAGATAGGAGCTGATAAAGTTGGGATGAGGCTCTCTCCTTTTGCCAGCCATATGAAGTCAGGGGACTCAGCCCCAGATGCCCAGGGGCTTTACATGGTTGCGGCCCTTAACAAATTTGGGATTCTGTACCGCCACATGATTGAGAGTTGAGACAAGGTTAAAGACTGCTGGAGAGAAGTGTGAAGTCCCCATAGTTTTCTACCCATGAGAAGGTGCCAAGAGTACTTTTATTGCTGCAGGGGCCTATGATAGAGCAGAAGGCAATAAAGCCATTGCAAATAATTATGCAGATCTTGTTGCTTATGGCCGTCATCTATTCTTAGCCTCCAGATTTGCCATGGAAGTTTGAGCTTCATGCTCCTCTTGACAAGTATAATAGAAAAACATTCTACATATCTGGTCCTGTTATTGGTTACGCCGACTATCCATTTCTGCAATCTACCACTTAGAAGTTAGAACTTGGAAATATAAGAGAAAGGATGCAGGATTTATGTTATAATAACTGCCCTTTTCTTAAATCCACAACTCTGATTTTGAATTGAGCTTCCAAACACAATGTAGAGATGTATTATTAATTCATTACTATTTCTTTTCTTGTTTGGTGGTGAAAGTGCAGTAGATTTGATTGAAATAACATGTCATTCAGTTGCCAAGGTATAGTTCCCTGGTTCCCCCAAGTTCATATATATATATATATATATATATATATATAAAAGACATGTCCATAAATCCTACTTTTTGGACTCCTGGACACATGTCAGATCCTAATTTCTATGTCCTAGTCCATGCTATACAGGTTTGCTGCGTCAAGAAGAGGAAGCCATCTAGTCCGGATGGAATTCCCATTCCCAATGGGACCTGAGTATACAAGCAACTTAGCCCCTGCAGAAATTACCAAAATTAGTGCCCATTTGGGAGGGCTTCCATGCTGTGAGTTTTGGCTTTGCAAGGTGGGACCCACCTGGAAAGCCTATAAGCAGTGTTTGGAAGAAATTTGGAAGCCAAATCTTGGTCATTTTACAACCATTTACACGACTCTCACTGGACAAGCCTCGTTCAGTAGCTTCTTCAAAGCAGCTGAACCAAAATTAACCCCTCCCAAATAGGCCCCCCTTAAGCTCAATATTATTTCTTAAAGGCAGATCAAGAGGGATGCGCTGCATTTCTTCTAGAATAGGAAGAAGCCACCACATTCTAACTACTAATGATCTCATCAACACTAAAATCTGGATTTTAGGTCTATCTATGATTTTTCTAGGTTATCAAATAAGGCAGAAGATGGAACAAACTCACAAAAATATCACCATCTTTATTTCAACATGCTGTCACTTGTTACAATTTCCACCAAACATGAGACCATTTAGATGCTTACATAAATTAATTCAAGGAAAAATATACAGTTCCTATCTAAAGAAAAACAAGATCAATTACAATTAACAATAAGATAGAGTATCTATAGATATGACCCATCATTAACAGGGAAAAAACATGCTGATGAGTGATCTAAAACAGATTACTATAATTGACAAAAAATGAATAAATACACCAGAGAGGTACAGAAAAGGGCGACCAGAAAATCTTCACAAAGAAACTACCCTCACTGAAACTGCTGATTCTGTATCAGCTCACACAAAAACCAATAGTCTTAACTCTTAATCTTCTTCACATCAATACAAAGAGGCACGCTAGGAATGGGCACCAATACCATCTCATCCAGGATGGCTATTCAGCACTTTCCTTTGGTTCAGCTAGAACGAACTCTGCATACAAATCCTTCAAAGCAATTACAACTGTTGTTATCAGTGGGCCCATTATTGCTCCCTGCAGCAGACCAGATGGAAAACCAAAAATCAATCATACAAATAGATCAAAGTATACTACCAATAAATTTTTTTATCAAAGTCAAAATCAAATTGAGCATTCCATAATTCATCCACAGATGGTGTAAGAGACACTGTCAGCTGTATGACAAAAACTGACAACAATAGTGCAAAAAAGGCTTCGATCACGGTTGGTACATAAAAGGCCATTACCCAATGTTAGTCCCAGCTATCTGAGATCTTGGGAGGGGTAGACTGGATAAGGTCCTAACCTTTGCAATTTCTTTTATTTCTGCTCTCCGACTTGAACCTGTATCCTCACACTTATCAGCCTGAGATTTTACCATTACACCAACTAATGGCCCCTTTTATTCATGGTTAGTATATACTTGAGAAAAATCCCCTCACAACTAATGATGAATCTAAGCCAATTTTTTTTATTATAGAACCTTTACCAAGGATTGATGTCATCTATCATGTCATGACAATGTAAATGGTGGTTTGGTCCCAATGCTTGGTAAATTGCATCTTTCAGGCTAATTTATGTTTATGCTATTAGTAAAAAGAACATAGCATTCTAAGCAGACCAAACGGCTTAAAACCCCTTCTTTTGTTAATTGGTGGCTTAACACCCTCCTTTTATTACTGAGAAGAATTTGGGGTTTCTGAACCCAAGTYCACTGTAGCAACAGCCCATTTACCTGATCTGCTTAGGAAGAACAAATTTCTGATGCAATACGTGAGACACTGTTTACAATCCTAAAAGCCATTTTAGAAATACTCAAGCGCTTCCATATCCATGTAGTTTTTAGAAAGGAATGTTCTGTTATATGAACAAAGATCATCTCAAAGAAGCATATGGAAAACATATTACAAGAAAAAAATCATGAATTGTGGAAAGGAAGCAATAGGAAGAATAAAAATTACCTCTAATGCAGATGGGAACAATGCCATTCCACCAATGATACTGAGGCCAGTAAGGTACGCACTATGGCCAGGTATATCCTCTTGTATTTCGGATGTTCCATAATCCATGAGGGCAAGATGAATTGTGCACAAATTAATAGCCAATAAGTACCTTCCTTCCATTATCAATTGGACAGCTGCTGGAATCGTTGAAAGCCAAGGTGGCAATATTGGCAACAGAGAACTAATGAACGCAAGGACAGTTGACATGTAAACAAAATGTATGGAGTAGAACCTAAACAAAAGCCATGTTAGGCATCCCTGAAAGAAAGCTATCTCTGCTGTTGCTAAAAGAACACCTGAAATGGCACGATTAAGGACTTCCACACATCGGATCCTGGTTGGTTTTGAGACTGGAATCATGGCCATCACTTGCTCTGTAACCCCACCAGACTCTGACGTGATGAGATAATATAGTACCCAAAAGAAAACCATGGACTGAGAGATGAAGTTCAGAAGACCTGCTGCCCCAGAGATGATAGATTGACCAACAGAGAACATGAGGCTTGCACTCCCGCCCACAAGGGATTTACTACTATCAAGGACACGTTTATACACGCCAATCCCTTGAATAGCAAAACCTTTCGCCTTCTCAAACAAATCCTCCCTGGTAATCACCAATTCTCTGAAAATAGCATCAAGTTCTGAATAAATCTGACCCCATTCCCTTTTGCTAACACATTTTCTAAGATTGATAAGTTTTTCAGTATAAGGAGATGGGTTCATCAAAGCCGTTGAAGACTCCAAAGGACCAACCGGCGGTGTTACAACGAAGTGTTTAATCCCAGATACCAACTCTGTCATATTATACTGCACAGCCAAAGTATCAATCTGTTGAGACATGGCTTCGTAGAACTTGGCAGTGTACCTATCCATCATCCCTGGAACATCATTCTCATCCATCCATTTCTTGATGCCAATTCTCTCTGCATAATTACTCTGCTCTACATGTGATTTCAGCGAAATCACAGCATCCTTCCCCTCAATTCCAACTTTATAACAGAAGAAGATGCCGCCAGCCAGAGAGCCCACAATCATCCCAACAATCAACCCAATCGCCACAATGGTTTGCAATCTTTTCAGAATCCCTCTCGTCAGGAACCCACTAATTCTACTCCGACGAAAGCTGCTGCTCCTCAGGGAGGAAACCGCAGACATTGTGGAATCAACACTACGAGACCTGAACGTGAACCCCAATCCAAGAAGCGCAAGAGACCCAAAAGCACCCAATTGCTCATACGCGATCACGAAGACCCCAAACGAAACAAGCCACCGAATCAACCTTGAAAACCCATGCCTCCGCTGCCTTGCAACGTCCGGTTTCTTCCGGCGGAGAACGAAGCGCACACAGGCACTCCGTATGTCAATAAGGGTACCCACGAAAACCCCAAAAACCGCCACTGGAACAGCTAAAACGGTCTCCGTGAGCCCCAATTTCAACGGCTCGGACCAAAACCCGACGAGGGCGTCTTGAATTCCTCTCAGAGGAACGGAAAGGAGGACCGCCCATTGAATGGGCCGAAGATATTCCTCGAGCAATTTGCAGAGGCCGTAGAGTAAAAAGATGGCGAAAGCCAGGCCAGCGTGAGCCATGGCGATGTAGAGTGCGAGACGCACCTGGGGATCACCAGACAGGGAATCCTGAGAAGATCCAACGGCTTGTCCATTAGACAATTGTGACGATGGAGGGGGGTTTTCCGGCGGCGGAGGGGGCTGCTTTTGAGGGATGGGATCGGGATCGGGTTTGCGGACGGAAGCAGATCGGAACATGTCTTGCCATGGGAGACTGGAGGAGTCGGCTTTGGACTTGCTGGGGTTGGAATAAGGGACGAGCTCCATTGAAGAAGCAGAGACTGACCCCTCACTCCAACCTGTATGTATGACTTTCACAGACACAGACACAGACACAGACACAGAAAGAAATTGATTTCCGATAGGGAAGGGGAAGAAGACTGTCACTTAACTGGCTCTGGTTGTGGCCGAGGATGAAATGGGAAATATGATAGTGTTGGGTTGTTGGGTTGTGATTTGTGTCAGAACGACTCTCTCGAAGGTCGAAGCCGAATATGATATATCCAACACTCATTGACGACGAAAATGGATTAATAATTTAATGGAGTAGGCTCGCCCTTTTTCTTACTCGCTCAGTCTCAGGTTCTTCTTTTCTCACTCGCACTCAGAGTGAAGTATGAACTATGAACTATGAAATATGTTCACCTTTAAGTTTTAATAATAACAATAAAATTTTTGGGTAAAATATACAACTTTGTACTTTTAAGTTAGTAATATTTTGCTCCTTCAACTTTCATTTGTGACAAAAGATCCCTTCAACTGTTAGATTTCAATACTTTGCCGCCCCTCTTGTTGGAGGATTATTTATTAGAGCACCCCTATAGTTTTACGGATTTATTTAAACCTATTTTATAGTTTTTATTTTATTGTCCTATAGTTTGTAACTTATTTACTTAATCAATTTTTCTCTATAATTGTTTATTTTGCCATCTTCTGAGAAAATGTTCAAAGGCATGGGTYCATAATTATTTTTTTTAAAATACCCTTATAATTTTTTCGTACAAAAAAAATGACCAAATAGAACCAAATAGAGTGGTTGCTTGTTTCTTACCAAGAACAAAATGATATTTTTCATTTTATTTGCTTTTGATTAAATTTATTCAAATGGACATTAGGTCAAAATTATCATTTTCCATTATCTTCTAATGGAAGTTCGATTAAGTAAATTGATTACAAACTATTGGGGCGTTTTTCTAAAACACAAACTATAAGTTAGGTTTTTGTAAATCCATGAAATTATAGGGGTGCTTTAATAAATGACCCTTAATTACATTAATTAAAAATATTAATTTTCTAAAATGTCCTTTCAAAATTAGTATGGGAAAAAGGATATTATTTAAAAATGAGGAAAATGTGTAGGGAAAATCTACCAATTTCACCTTTATTGATAATGTATTGATGATTAATTGTGTAAGGATGGCAATTTTCCTCATCCCCATCATGTACCGGGCTTCCTTGACCTAAGATGGATATCGCCTTGGTAGGGACTGGGTGGGGATGGGGATGGGGAGTGAAATATTATATATATTACTTATGGTGTTGATTATATTATATCAAAATATTTTTATATTTTAAAAATTTCCCTTATTTTAAATAAATCTTTTTTCTAAACATAATTTTCATTTAAAATTTCCAGGATTCGAACCCCTGATGAAAAACCCATCTCCATCAAGACCGGGGGTCCAGGGATGAAGGATCATTTTTATCCCAACGGAGATCGAGGTCAATTAATGACATAACAATTAAATGAAAATCTTTTTTTAAGTTAAATACTAACAAAGAGGGCAAAGTGTTAGAATTTTAAAGTTGAGGAGGTCTCTTATTACAAATAAAAGTTTAAAGGGGTTAAGTTTTACCACCCCAAATTACGGGATGATAATCTTTAATTATCCTAATTTTTTATTATTTTTGCATTGTACGCACGAATATTGAATGGATTCACACATCTCAATATAAAATGAAACTGACGGCCTCTGATTAGTTTGAGTAGATGGGGCGCTATTTGAGGACCATAGGTTCCTACCTAATCAAATTATTACACGAATCAACGGCACGAAGAAGGGAGTTTGGACATTTTATATCCATCTCAGAATCTGTATTACTATTTGAAAAGCTGCTACCCAAAAAAAAAAAGAAAAAGAATGTTATTATTTATTTTTTTGTTCGTCTCTGTTCAAGTTTGGACACGCGCACGAAGAAGGGAGTCTGAACTTACCACGATCAATGAACATGGCTATTCGAATTCGATCCTTGCAAATTATTTTAAAATGTTTTAACATTTTATATTTTTGTGTGTATAAAAATAATTATTATTTTATCACTTTTATTAATTTTTATATTTTTTTATAGATTTTATATTAATTGCTAAAAGTTTTTGACATAGATGACATAATTTATTTTGAAACAAAGCAAATATTTATAGAATTTATTAATAATAATTAATTTAAATATAGGATTTAGTGAAAGAGAATAAGAATTAATACTTTAAATATAAGACCTAATGAAAAAAAATTGAATAAGGTAAAATAAGTTCAAATTATATTTTCTATTGAGGGACCAAATTAATGCTGTGGGCATTTATTAAGGGGACGTTTATCTGCTTTAAACGTTTTTGGCTTTTATTGTTTGGTTGGACATTTTATGGGTGTTTCAAGAAACAACCCATAAAGGCACTTTCCACCTCAACAAAGATAAACAGCAACTCATCTTTTGCTGCTTGGAGGGGCGTTTCATGAAATGGCCACATATATGATTCGGTATAGCACCTTTCCTTGATATTTAGATGTCATTGAATCAATCCAATGGTCCAAACTACACTTTCTTGCATAGTTTGAGATCTAACGGTTGATTTTGCTTGAAAATGACATCCAACGGTCAAAATAACTGATGTATAGGGGGATGCATGTGTGTGTGGCCTTATTTCTTACATTCAAAAGAAAAAAAAGCCCATCGATCTAAGGCATTTGCACATTACTAATCAATCTAAGGCATTCCTCTTGCACTAAAGGTATCAAACATTTACTACCCGTTTTAAATTTAAATCCTGATGAGGTCAACACTTAGAAAATTTTACCTGTCCCTTAAAATAAATACCCATGCAGTGGATTTCTTAGAACCGTCTAATATAAGTGAACAAGCGCTAGCCCATCCAATTGAACCTTCTTCCCATCATCATCCTTCCGCCATTTGCACAATTTGAGTTGAAAATCTTCCTAACTTTCTAGGTTGGGGACCTCATCAGGATGCAGCTTGCCTCTTTCTCATGGGCCCTCTACCACCTCTAGAAATCGATACAAAACTACTAATCGATACAACTTGTAACGTTTGTGTCCTTTATTTCATAATGACTAGTTTTTGTAATGATTATAATAATGGAAAATTATGTGTAAATGGTATTTCCAACTTATAAGTCCCTTTGGGTTAACAAATTTTGGGCACTATCATAATTGGGGGAAGGGGGCTCTATAATGTGAATGAAAAATTGAGTGGCATATTCTCATTCACACCACAAACTTGTGGGGACTCACCATGCCAAAACAAAAAAGTTGTTATAAACTAACCAATATAAACAAAATGAGTAGACCAAACTACACCACACCCATAGGCATTCTAGAAGGTGTGGAGTAGATCAATCCGCATTATGTGTTTTGATTTTATGCATCTTGCTCATAACAAGTGAGATGATCTACGTTATTGATCAAGAATAAAACTAGGGAGAATGACGGTTCAGCTCAAGGTCACAATTTTTAGGCCTAAAGTACAGTTGGGGTGGGTGCCAACTCAGAATTAATGCCAATTCACGGGGGGTATCGGTGTATAGAGTGGGGGTTTTTGACATTTTGAATGTTTATAAGTCTACAGTGGAATTAAGAAATTTGCATTGGGTCTGTCCATACTTTTCGGAAAAAACTATTTTGTGTTTTCTAAGCAAAATAAACAATTTAAAAAATATAATTTCACCATGGCTAAAACAAAATAATATTAATTATCTATAAAATAAATAATAATAGTAATAATAATAATAATAATAATTATTATTATTATTATTATTATTATTATTATAAAAACTTAAAAGTGTTAATTTTAAAGTTACCTAATAAAAGTTAAACTAATAAAAAAATTATATAGTTTTAAGAGAAATATGATAATAATATAAATGGTGTTGGTTATTTATAAGATAAACAATTAATAAAAATCAATGGTGAATTAATAATAATAAAAGTTTCAAAATTAAAAGCCTTGATTTTAAAACTAATTAATAAAAGTCAAAGTAATAACAAAATATATAAAATTAATATTATAAGATAAATAATATTGATTAGCTACAAAATTAACAATAATTATAAAAATTAATGTCTTATATTTTAAATATAATTAATAAAATTAAAGTAATATAATAATATACAAAATTAATTGTTTTTTAACCCCAAAATGTTCTCCTAGTGGAGGGGTGGCCATCGCAATTTATTAGCACGCAAGAAAAACCCCGAAGGGGGGACATAAAGGCCTTACCCCTCGAAATATATACATTAGAAACCCGGCTCATATATAACATCAATTGTCCGAGAAACCTAAAATCAATGAATTCTTAGAAAAGGAAGCCCAAGACCATCTGCATTAACAAAATTCTGAACATGGGAAGGAAGATTCTCTATGCAATCATAAACATTTCTCTATGAAGCTAAACATCCTATCTTTGCAAGAGCATCCGCTAGTTGATTAGCTTCTCTATAAATATGTACACAAAAGAATTCCAAACTAATTCTAATCTCCTATACCTGTATAAACCAATACCAAAGCTTCCAAGGGGTTGTACGAACTCCACTTAGAATATGAACCAAAATTTTTTAATTCGGCTCAACCATAATTCTATTTACTCCCAAAGCAACTGCAAGGTGCAGACCATCCAGTAGTGCTAGTGCTTCTACAACCAAATTAGTCTCAAGGCCATAGGTGTTAGAGAAAGCACAAACAAATCCATTCCTTCCATTTCTAATAATACCACCTCCCCCACAAGGGACGGACTACCTCTAGAAGCCCTTCAACATTGAGTTTCATGTAGCCCTTCGGTGCAGCCATTAGTGAACCACTTTAACATTCCTTTCTCTGATCAATTGGATTCATAACCCAAATCCTTGCAAAGAGATCTATTGGTTGTAGTTCACCTTATTTATCAAATTCAGCAAGGGGGAAACCTCATGTAACCATCTCACCACCACCCAAATTACCATTTTAGAGCATCTGAACTTGTTTTCCATCTTGTGCCTATATCTCCCAAACAGCAAAGCACACTATCAACCCTACCACAACAGCCCATTGGTTCCTAGATTATGTTGCTAAAAACCAACAAGAAAGAAGTTCCTTAATACCCTCATTTCCCCAAAAAGGTAACCTTAAGAGTCTACTGAAAGAGAGCCACACTTTCCGAGATAGACAGCCACGCACCAATACATGATTAGCATCCTCCTCCAAAGGATGACAACAACAAACACATCTAGATACCAAGGGAATTCCCAACTCTTTGATATCTGCCTCCACACCCACCTTACTGACCAGAATTTTTCAGATGAAGAAACTCACCTTGGTTGGCACTAGAGCATTCCTTACCA